GCTATGGTCCTGTTAACGCAGCCCAGGACACTGTTCACCTGCATTGCTTCCAGGGCATGGTGCTGACTCCTCTGTAGCATGTGGTCACCCGGTCCCTTCCGAGAGAGTTGCTCCCTCCCAGTGAGACACCAGCCCGTACAGTGCAGGGTTGAGTCTGATTTGCATTTGTCCTTGGGGAATGCCATGAGATTGCTGTTGGCCTGTTCTTCCAGCCTCTCTAGGTCCCTCTGAGTGGCAGCCCGTAGAAAGGTGAACATACGAGAGCTGTGCAATCTGCTTCTCACCTTCGCTTTCCCACACAGCCCCCTCCAAAAAACAAGCAAACACAAACCCCAAAAGCAAAAGGGGTAATTACATTTAAGGCCTTTAGTAGGTTAAGTACCTTTGCAGCAACTTACAAGGATGGCCTACATGGCTTTGAAATAAGCTATCGAAACAATGGAAATCCATACATCTTGAAACATGCTTCTAAACATGCTTCTAAGGAGGATATGGGAGTGTGATTGTATAGACCTGTATAACTCAGTAGGAGTCCAGGTCTGTTCAAACTGACTAAAACAGAGCATGCTTAGACACTGAAAATCTGTAAGAGTATGTAAAACCAGAAAGTTTTAGAAACAAGACTTAATCTATATAAAGGAATATATGAAGTCAAAATCTGGTTAAATAAGTCCATTAGAGGCATTTGTTTAAAGTTTTGTGTTTTCACAAGAGGTTGGACTAGATGACCCCCCAGAGATTTTTTCCAGTCTAAATTTCTCAATAATTTAGTGAAATGCATTTAGCCATTTGGCACTGGAAGACAGCTGCATCAATAGCTACACTTCAGCAATGTACATGTTCTCTAAAATCACATCTCAAAATAAATTTCAACAGCTGATAATCAAAAGTCCTCCATCTTCAGTATGAGATATAGCTAAAGCATATTTTCTCACTACTTCCAGCAGCTACAGATAGTATTCTGTTGTCACCTCTCTGCTATAATACCACTTTATACCCCCCTCATATTTATATTTGTTTTCTTGTTAAATATTTTGTAAGCCTCACAGTAACACGTTACATTTATTTAGTTTATTTTACTTCTATTGGATTTGGATAATCAATATTATTTTTACTCCTACTACACATTTTTGATCACAGACAGTAGTAGTCTGCTTCCTTCGGCCTTTTAAAGTTGCAAGGAAGTGTTTCATCTTCAAGCATGAAGGAGCAAAAACAAATCTGTTGTCATTAGGGTCAGTGAAAGTAGGTTTGTTTCCATCTCCATGACTGAGTGAAATCCTGATTCTTTGATAACACTGAGCTTTTTGCTACCAAGTAAAATGATTCTGTAATTTCACTATTTTATTTCCATAATATTACTATTCTGTTAGGAAAAGCAAAGTCTCTTACCTTTCTGTGGTTCTTGAAAATAATACTTTGATTTTCACACTGTATTTCCAGAGGTGTCTCAACTGTTATTTGCCATTAATTTTGTGTTTAGCATTCTAGCATTATGCATAAATATTCAAGTTTACCTTATTCAGGATAATTTAACTTACCATCAATCCTGTGTTTTTAGGGAAGGACAATCTGCCTCTTTTATTCATGTGTATAGCGTGACCCTCTATTTGAAGTATTACAGACTCTGCCTTATTGGCCAGATTTTTCTCCTGCTTAATATACTGAATAGACCATCCAATCCCTCTTGTTCAAAACATTTCTGGATGGTGATTTAGAGAGCCATTCTAGTTTGTTAACTATTAACCAGTAAATGTCCCTATCCATTACAATTACTGGGTTTATGGTATTGCAAAATTTCTAAGGGGGACTGAAAATACTTTTGTTATCTCCATTTCCCTCCCAGCTATGCCTCATTCTGTGCACAGATAATGATCTCTCTATTTTTCAGTTCTGCGTATATAATAATGGAGATAATAAGAGTTCAGGCTTCTGCTCAAAGAATTTTATGCAGAAGAGATTCCAGAGAATTCAGTGGATCAGTCATTGATGGGTCACCTTGTCCTACATGCAGTTTTAAACCATTTGCGCCTAACCCGGTTTGAAGTTTTACTCTGTCGACTTAAGGAAAACCTTTGAAAAAGTATGTTTTGTGTATTCGTACCGGGAAGGCTCACTCCCTTGTCTTTTGGGGGTGCAGAGGAGGATGGGCAGGAAATGATAAAGCTTTCTAATCATAAGAGAATTTGATACTTGCTTCCAGCAACAGACTGGGTTAAGAACAAAAGTAGGACAGCAGTATTGGGGTTCTTTGGGTATGTTTGCTGTGTAGTTTAGAGATAACCAAACTATATTTAACCCAGGTAACATAAATACCTTCAGGACTCTAATCTGACAGCACAGAGCTCAGCTGTGCTGATTAGGTGCATGGAAAAAGAATGGCAGTGTCAGGTCTCTGTAGTGGATGATCCTATCCAGCATTAACAGGTCACATGAATCAGTGTACTGATCCCTACCTTTGATGTTGCAGTTAGATTAACTAAGATAAATGTAACATCCTGAATCTCTGAAGATCTGGCATTTTTTCTTACGCAGAATCTGAAGCAGGTTAAAAGCTCTTACATTCACAAAATTGTTTTGTAATTCAAATGGACCAGTGTAGATTAGTGTTGGCTGTTCCTCTCATATCCTTCAGACAGGAGATTTATGTGCTTCCCTGTACAATCAAGTATTTCATATTCAAAATGGCAATTGAGGTCTTCTATTCCACTGTCTGCCTCTGCCTAGTATATAGGTCAAAAGGGACAATATGTATTTTTCAGAATGCAAAAGAAACCAATTGCTGTAACTGATCTCCTTGTCTTTGCTCCTCATTGCAAACAGAGCTGTTTAGCAAAAGTGACTGCTTAAAATTCTAATGCCACCCTTCTTAAAATCTGAATTGAATTTGTGTCAAGTGTTGTCACACTTGCTAAACAGCTGTGTATGTGAGGGTGACCTTGAATACCCAGATTTGAGTCTCTGCTTTCACTGTTAGTTCTTCTGCCTTGATAGAAGCTCCTACGACTGATTCTTCAGTCTGACAATCCAGATCATACTCTGTGCACAGTTACAGGAGCATGAATAGAAGAACCAACTGTGATGAGAGGCTGGAGAGTACAGAGATCTCCAGTTAGCTCTAGACCCCTGCCCCTCTCGGAGCTACAGATATGTGTTCAGCATGACTCTCTCTGCTTTGGCCTTGCCAAGCTAGTGCAATTACTGCTGGGAGCTGTAAACCAGACAGGTTAAGCTCGAGTTTCAACTGCATCTTCTTCCATAATCAAGTGGAGTAAAAAAGTGCCATGCTTTGACCAATTCAGACTCTAAGAATTTACCTAACATTCACTTTTTCACCACTGTAGTGGTGTTGGTTCAGAATGGAGGTCTAATGGAGGTCTAAGCAGGTAATATATTTTGTGTTGCAGAATATTTGTAGAATCAAAAACTTCCTTGATAATGTTTGTTTCCCTTCCACTAATTCTGCTTGACTTTCTGTTGCTGTAGACTAGGAGAAGGGAAACCTATCAAAAAATACTCTCATATGAGTTACGCACTGTTTGCAGAGGACCACATCAAGTTTCATACAGGAGAAGCAATGTACACTTTCTTTATAAACAGTCACTGGTACAGCACCTGCTCTTCTTGGAAGGTGAGAGGTAAGTTAGTTGATGTGATCATTAGCTTTCCCATTAGTTCCTTGTTGTTTGTAGTGCATAGAACAGCCCTTGTTCCTTTTGTCCCAGCAACATGGACACACACCTCTTGCAAGCACCTCCTCTGAGCCACAGCCAGTTGTTGTCCTCCATTTTTATATTCTCAGTATACAAGCACAGCCTGTGAGCTTCAGAAAACTGTCAGATGAGATGGGAAGGAATTACACTTAAGCATTCACTATTCGTGAATGTCTTTTATCTTTCACCTTTCACAGCTGATCATGAGACTCAGTAGAAAAGAGATCCTCCTCTGAAGAGGCAGGTATCATTTGATTCTGAAAATACTTTTTGACCATGGTAACTTTCTAGTGAATTGTTTATTGTAGTATTTATTTGCTGTTAACCATTTCTTATCTATCCTTTAACTGTTACTCAAACAAAAGCAACATGCAGTGCCTTTTGAGTCTGCAACAAATATTTATTTAACAAAATGGATGGCACCAACATATCTCCAAAACACAGGTACGTATAACAAATGTAACAACAGTTGGTTTCCAAAATGAAATCAACATCAAATATAAGGCAGGATATTCTGTGAGTTTTCATGCAAGCGCATAATCAAATGTTCCTTTATCCAACCCCTCAACTTCATCTTCCCATGTAGATGAAGGCATACTACTGTAGGGGTCTAACAGAATTTTGAAGCATCTGATAATTAGAAGTCCCAAGAAAACACACAAGATTCCCACAAAGGCAAAGCCAGTTTTTTGTTCTAAAGTCAGAGAGAAGGCAGACATTTCGTTGACACTCATGCTGGCTGAACTGTTGCTGCAGTAATTACTGCTCATCGTTGGGCATCACATCCTGGTGACTCTGGGGGATTTGCACCTCTATTGCTTCTTTGCCTGTATAGAAAAGTAGAATAATTTTGTTTAAATTTGAATGGGGTGTGTATATCTGATCTGTAGCATATGAACATTTGGAAATGAAAAGCAGTTTGGATTTTAGTAATGTCCTGTTGCTTTTTCACATTTAAATTAATGTGATAAAGTTGCAACTTTCAGCCTCTACACACCATCCATTTACTGGCCTCTGTTATGAGACAGCAAACTCACAGCTTTCTGGCTCTCTGTCTCCTCAAAATGGAGCCATTTCAGTACATGGCTGTTTCAAACAGCATTCTGTCAGATTTGGGCTAAACCTACAAGTTCTGATTTGGCAATATTCACCAAGGTCTCCACCTGGAGAAATTCTGAAATGGCTTTACACCTCACTCCTTAAAGTAGTTAAACTTGCATTGACCTCAGAGGGAATTTCAGCCAATCAATGTGGTCTTTGCTTATGTAATTTAGCTTATAAAGCTAAATAAATAAATCCAACTTGTAAAACAAAACATTGTGTGTGCAATTTGAGTGAAGTCTTGGGCTCCATTTTCAGAAAAATGCTGCGTGCATTCTGAGCTTGTAAGAAAATGAGCATATTGGTAAAATTGCTCCTTCATCTTCCTCTATGTGTGTCCACTTTTGTGTATGAGGAAAACGTGGTGGGGAAAAAAGATAACAGAAGGGATTTCCCTTCCCCAAAATCTTGTTCTCATTTGTTTCTTCTGCTTGGTCTTCCCCATTAAACGCATCCATATCCTGCCATTTTTACAGGCATAGTAAACACATGCTCCTCGTGAACCTCTGGAGACTGACCCTCTGTGTTAGGAAGGCAAGATGTCCACCCTGCTACTGTCACCAGGAGAGCTGTGTATGTTTCCAGCCAGGAGACTTTTATTTTTGTCTTTTTAAGGAGGTCTTACATATAGATTTTAGTTGGGGTGGGAATAATTTTGATTTCAGGTTTTCTATCAGATATTGAAATCACATGTTTATTTTGTCTCTATAGACAGGAGGAGAATTGGAAGGACTGGGACATCACAAGTGCCAAAGGACAAAGGCTGGAGCTTGAGTTTTTTTTTGCTGTTAACACCTATTTAACAAACGTGCCTCACGGGGAAATTCTTTCTGTTAACAATTCAACTGTCTTTCCCCCAGGGAGTTCCCAGTATCCCTTTATTTCTTGGCAGAGTAATTAGGCCAGTCAGAGCTGGGTGCTGCCATGGCTACACTGCTTCAGGTACCTGCACTGGCAGCCAGTTTAAAGGGAGTTCCAGTATCTCTACTCTGTACTGAGTCATAGCTGAAAGTAGCCATCTCCTGAGACAGCCTACAATTAAGAGCAACAGAAAAAGTAAGAATAGGATTTGGTATTCGTAAGAAGACAGAAATGGACAGAACTTTTATCTCATTTGGTGTCTCTTTTCTCACTTCAGAATTCGTGGGATTTCTAAATTTTATCCTAAAGAATGAAAATTTTAAAACAAGTATTAAAAGGGCAAGAAAAGTCTCTTCTTGCAATAACCCTCATTATATAAGGTATTAAATAATATGTTTTCCTATCACATTCTTTACACATTTACTACAGATTAAACCCAATGTTCTGTTTATTCTGTAGAGCTGTGTATGAGATCCTTTGTTTTTCTCTTACTGTTGTAAGTCAAGTTGCAGAAAAGACACAGATATGGACTATGGGAATTAGAAGTAATGTCAAAACCAATCAGTATTTACTTTTTGAAAACATATCACAGATCAAGCCCACCTGTTGTACAGGTTTGTATTGGGCATATTTCCAGTGTTTCTTTTAAGTTTGACCTTCTGTGGGAAACAAAGGAATCACAGAAGGTTCAATAGCACAAATTTATGTCACAAATAAGTTGATTTGAACGAGAGCCAGTTAAGGGGAAAAAATACTTTCCAAAAGTCCTGGACACTGGTTTGTAAAAATTAAATTAAAGGCTTATAAGGGAAAATAATATTTAGACATTACCTGGGGAAGCCAGACCCCCCAAAAAAACCAATTGCTGTCTTGAAAGACAGAGAAATCTTAGGGACAGGCTGGCCTTGGAGAACCCCACATTTGAGCCGAGTCCAGAGAAATATGTATGTGTTTGAGGTGACATTTCTTCACCATCATATTCCAAGAATATGACTTCCAGTCTTACTACTCTTGCAGGTTACACACTGGGATTAGTGCGATTTGCTTGTACATGATGTGCTCGTCAGGAGATGTTATGTGGTAGACCTCTGAGCAAAGCCTGACTGATGCTGAAACATGGATTGGTAAGAAATAGGTATGTTAGTCTTATTTGGCAAGAGTTTGTTTAAAACAGCTGCATCAGAAAACAGTGGCCGCTTTGCTGGGGGTGGACAGGATTGGTTCTGGAAAACTCTGATATATAGCTTTGTGTTCTTCTCTTCCTTGTCCTGAATTTCAGAAATTGTAATTAAAGCCTTAAAGTTTGGAAAACTTTTTGCTCTAATTACTGTGGTACCAGGACTGACGTTGAGTGCCTTTTTATTGTTTTCACATTTCAGTGCTGCATGCAGGTTCGATGTCCTTTCCCAGTTACTCAGATATCCTTTCCTTTGCTGCAATGTTTGTGTCAAGTTGTGAGTCAGAAGACTCTGAATACTAACTAACATGGCCTGGATCCAGAAATCCTTGAGGATAACCTTTAGGGCAGTATGATGAGGACAGGCATTATATCAGTTAGAATCTGCAGAGTCATTTTGTAGGTGCTAGCCTCAGACTAATCTCTCTTGATGTTTTTTATAGGTCAGACTCTAGTCATCCTTTGATTCATTGCCCATATAAAAACACTGGCATAAAGAAAGTCTCCTTAACATCCTGCTGTGAAATAAAAGGCCTTTGGAGACCCTTGTGAGGCCAGGAAGTAACAATCTGAGTCCTAGAGAAAATAGGAATGAGGAAAATATCTTAGCACACAGACCATTGATGTAAGCAGAATGGAGGTATGAGCTGGGGATGGTGGCTGCACCTATGGAGGGTGAAGGGGAGCACCATGGCCACTAAATATTGTAAGGCAGGTAGAAGAAAGATGATGAAATCCTTATTCTAGCAGTATCACCAGCCCAACTCTGCCAGTGTTTGTTTGGTGCAAATTGAAGATCCCAGCCCCAGCTCTTTGGTGGTTTGAGTGTCACTTTTTCCACACCTAGCTTTCACCCTTATGTTTTCAGAGATACTGAGATTAAGAAAGTATCCAGTAAGTGTTAAAGAAGGACTTCCTCAGTGATCTTTCTTGTATTTTGGGTTTCCTTCCCTCACAGAACCCACCATGGAGTTTTTTTGTAATGGCTCAGTACTGGAAATGAGTACCTTAAACGTCTGCTCAAGCTGGGCGCATTCATCCTCTTGGCATGATTAAGCCTCAGGTGCCCGAAAGCTCACTTCGTAAACGACAGCGTGTAACAAAATGGACCGAATCAGTTGCCATCTGTTCTCCCCTTGGATGTCTGCAGCCCAGCTGCTGGTGCATGGTCATTCTGAAGGTACTTGAAATAGCTTCAGTCCCAGGCTTGTGTGTGAGTGACAGCAAACCTGACTTAAAAGGTGTTGGTGTGGTTAGGCACATAAACAGGTATCCTCTGGGAGTTTCAGAAGCACCTCGTTTGTCCTTAACAATCTGGTCAAGGAAAGTGAACTGTATTCCAGGACTGCTGTTACAGGAATTGGGCACAGGAGGCGAAAGGGTTAGACAATGGAGAAGAAGATGTAATGAAACAGAAATCAGCATGAATTTGGATTCTCCTAAGGGTCTGAGCTGAGCTAATAAAACATGGCTAGAAGTCCTGCAAAGCCAGCTCTGTTACCACACAGCCAGCCTGTCATGCTCAGGTTTACACTGCTTGCCTGTATTCTCTAAATTGCTGGGGAGAAGACCATTTCTTCAGGGTAAGATTTCTTAGAAAACATATAGGGAGGTATAAGATAGGAAGGCCAGGGCATGGATGTCTGGCAAATGAAGGCGTGGTGGTGAACTGTTCTGCAAGGAGAGCAAATCCCCACAGAAACAGGCAGTGTTTGTGTGGCATGGAGCTCAGGGTGCAAGCAACACTTTTTCTCATATATGGCATTCCCCTGCAGCGCAGCAGCCAGACAGTGACAGTTCCAGCCTTCAGACAAGCAATGGATTGCAGAAATGAGACTGTATCCTCCGTAAAAGCGCAAGCCTGGAGTCTCCAGCTACAAGAGCTCCTGTGCTGTGACTTCATGTTTGTGGTCTAGGTTTAGATAATACAGAGAGGCAGGAGAATGAAACGTTCGTTCACTCGCATCATGCTTAACTTGTGAACGTGGACCAGTGGTGCCTGCTTCCCTAGGGATGGAGCCTGCGAGAGGCTGAGCCTCCTGCAAAGCAATTGTTGCTGTGGGCTCGCACGCACCGCCTCGCTCCCCCCCGGCCCGGCTCCCCTGCGAGAGCACATTCCCGCCTTCACCCCCCACCCCCGGCCGGGTGCGGGCCGGGCGGTGCCGCAAGGTCAGACCCGCCGCCCCCCGCCCCGCGCCGCCAGCGCTACCAACCCGTGTCCTCCGCGCCCGCGCTGCTGCCCATGGTGGCGGTGCGCGGGGCTCCCCGCGGCTCCGGGCCCGGTTCGCCGGCGGTCGGGAGCCCAGGCTGGAGCCCCGACGGCCCGCCCGGGCTCCCCTCGCTGCGACCCCGCCGGGAGATGCTCAAGCCGCCCTAAAACATTCGACACGGCCGCTCCTGCTGCCGCCTGCTCCTCCCCGCCCGCCCCCTTCCCCCGCTATTCAGCCGCGCTCCTCTCCAACCCGCCTGTGCACGGATTAAACCGGGGAGCGTGGAAACTTCCTACAAAACACTACGTGAGGCGCATCGGTAAGGGCCCGGCCGGCCGCGGGAGCAGCCCTCCTCCTCCCCCCGGGCCGGGCAGCGCGGGCTCGGAGGCTGCGTGGTGCCCGCAGGAGGAGGGCTCCCTCCCACCCAGAGCCCCAGCCCCGCCGCCGGTGCGGAGAGGGACCTGTAGAGCCGCGCTGGGTGCGTGCAGCCCTGTAGCGGTCACCGCGCCGTCAGCGAGCGGGGTCTGCACGGCGGTGTCGGGCTACTCTGCGGGGTGCGCTGAGCGCCTCCGAGCCTGCACCTGCAGCGTGGCCTCGGGTCCTCCCAGGAGCTTGAACAGTAATAATGTTGGGGCATTGAGCATACGGTGACAGGCGGCGGGGAGCCGGCCGGTGCGGAATTCAGACCTCGCTTTCCGCCTTTCATTAGCTATGCTTAGCTGATGCTGGTTGTATACTAGCGAGGCTTCCATTTGCCACAACAGCAGGTGTTTAAGGTGGATAAGGAGAAGGGATTTCTTTTCCCAAAGCGAGATCTGTATGTCACAGTAATATACAGCAAATCTGTTTTAAATGATAGCGATTCCATATTTGTATGCCACCCTGGTGAATACAGCCCTGCAGGGATGCACATGGGGCAGTGGAACAGGGCTGTATCATTGTGCCATGCATCATGAGGTTTTTGAGGCAACTGTAGAGCTACTAGCAGAATTTGTTCTGTAGAAAATAATTTAAAAGCTCCACATGTTTCTTGCTAAATGCAATAACGCGGGGGTAGGTTAAAGCTTTTTCCTCCTAATATGAACTGGGAAATGGGGTTTGCATTGCATGCCATTTTATGCCTGATTCTTCTGCTGTCTGCAGTGGGCTTCTCAGCACTGGGTAGTCTCAATAAAAAGCTTTCTCCTGCTAGTAGAAATAATGGTTAAACTGATGGTTAACTATGCACTCACTAAAGGTTATTAGTTTGATCTTCTAATTTTGCAGCATCAGTCATGTCATAAACAATGTCTGGTGCTGAAATTATAAGTCAAACTAATTTTGAAGTGCCTCTCATATTTAAAGATCTATGAAGACTTTATAAATAGCTTGTTTTAAATAGTGTGAGATTGTGCTTTCAGAATATGTATATAAGGAGCCTCTCCTAAGGAGCTCCAGTTTTCCCTTTTTTAGCCCTGACCCCGATTCACCTGGGGACCACATGAAGGTCTCTCGGTGGAGGGAAACAGCTACAGTTTGGGATTTGGAGATTAGCACACAAAGGCTCAGAATTTCACAGTACCCCCTCAACCTAGCACAACTGTTTGGGAGAATGACATAAATCCAGGCTTTTTGGCTGAGTACTGAGCATTGCTGTACTTGGAAAACCTTACTGAAAGCGGGTCTTGGGAGTAGCCAGGACCGCTGTGTTTGCTCTGGCTAGGAATGAGGGGCAGTATTGACAGTAGAAATACATAACCTCTGAGTGGATGCATCTTGCCTCTTCTGTCAGATTTTGGGTATGGACAGTGGGTCTTTCATTATAATTTTTCCTGGAAAAGGTTTGGAGATCTTCCTCCCCATAGTTATAGTATCCTTTCCTCTTGCTATTCCTGTAGGATTGAATGTTAAGAGATTCCTTTTTTTTAACTGTGAAATAATTGCCTCTCTTGTACTATGGCAATAGCAGAGGTTGGTGAAATCTTGATTGTTCCTAGGAATCTGATGCTCTTGTGCTTTGTTAAAGACTTGACTTTTTTTTTTTTCATGTGTTGGAGATCTACTTTTCATGGAAGTGAGACTGAAAAAGAAACTGGCAGCCAGCAACAGGGAATAAGCCTCCTCCTTCAGCTACCAGTTGCCAGCAGACAAGTAGCACCATTTGATTCTGTTCAAGATGTTATATTTTAAAATGGAAAAGGGATGGAATGGCTTAATCTTTCCTTGTATTTCATTGCTTTTTCACTTGAAAGTCAAGTTTTACTCTTGCACAGGAACAGTGATTTTTTTTTTTTAAGACAAATGCAGTAGCAGTGTATGTGAAACTGTTCTGGATACATGGACAAATGATGCATTCATTACTCTTAACTTTCCATTTCTTTATCAGGCTCCATCTTCCTTGTGTTCAATGGAACAATAACTATTACTTCCACTTCACTTCAGTCATATTTGCTGTGGATTTCATCCTTATTTTAAGGAGTATTGTGTTTCCTCAAAGGACAGCCCTTGAACAAAAATAGAGATTTTATAATTATCTAGTAATTTGGTTCATTGAACTTGCAAATTCAACTGGCCTAGTTTAGGGTTGGGCAAGACACTTAAGCCAAGTGGGTGCCAGGGTGCCAGGCAATAGGGAACTCTTAGGTATATTAGCTAGTGAATACTTTTTCATGTTTAAGCATCATCTAAGTGGTGTAAGTATCAAGGAAATTGTAACTATATTAAGTGATAAGTAACCTGCTTTTCCATTTAGCTTTAAACAGCTCTTTGGGTGTTCCTTCACAAGCAAACAAACTGTCCCTTCAGTTGTTAGAAATTCAAAGTGGGCTGACAAGGGTAGAGTCAATGAAGAGCATTGTGTACAGAAGAAACAGATCAAGCTGAACACCCCTTTCCCTCCAACAAATTTAAGCAAGTCAAAGCAAGTTTATGAGAACATGCATCTTCAGAAGGCAATAGTTTATGGAGGCGATAAAAGCAGTAACAGAGGTCACAGTGAAAGAGGGAAGATTATGTATTATGTATTGATAAGAGTTGCAAGTGGGAATTATTTAATGAAATTTAGTTCAGGGTATTTAACATCTTAAGAAGGATAAAGACCTCTGTTCTAGCATGGTGGGTTTTTTTCGATAGTCTTAAAAGATCTGGATCTCTCTTTGTGCTTGTCCAAAGACCATACTTTTATTAGGTACTGCCCTCACCAGCTTAAACATATGGCTGTGTACAGTCCTGGGAGTCCATAGGGTACTCCTCTGGTGACTGCCAGGAATGCAGTCAGAAAAAGAGGTTCTACAGAGTGGTCTCCCCATGTTAAATATCTGAATAGGCCCACTCTTCAAATAGGAAAAGAGTAGGGATTCAGAACTGAAGAAGGTTGAGAATCACGGCTTTTAGGTTCAGCACCCATGAGTGTCAGTGTTGGGGAAGGTGGAACAGTGCGCACGTACAGTGAAAACCAACAGTGCCACCTGGTGTGAGTGGGACAGGAGAGTTGGTCCATGAAGGAGGGGCAAATGTTCCCAGGGGTGCCCCAGCTCCTCCACTTCAAGGTTGGGGCAAGCCCACGGCCAGAGGGCAAAAGGCTTCTAAGGCCTTAGAATGGATGAATTCTCCTTAGAGATGCAGGAGGGAGGTGTTCACTGCCTTGTTGTGAAGGGGGGAGGTGGTGGGTATGTTAGGGGCACTCAGCCTGTTTAGGACCACATGTGTTATGGAAGGAAGGACCAAAATGCAACTGGCTTGCTTTTTGCTTTTTTTTTTTTTTGTAACGTCAGCAGATAGAGTAATGATATGGAGGAAGAGAGGGTAATGTGATTTATAAAACGTAGGACCTGTAAAAGTGCTCCCCAAAGGCTGGTGTTATGCAGCCTTTTAGGGGTTTTAGGCTTTTAAGCTTTGGTCAAGGGTTGCAGAACACTGAAAAAAAGAAAAAAAGAAAAAATGAGATTTAGGGGGATTTAAGCCTTCAGTGGGGGAAAAGGTCCCTACAGGTCAAGTGGAGCAGGTCTCCTGTGTGAGGGATCCTATGCTGTGGTTACAGGATGCTGCACAGTTTTTCTGTTTATAAGCATACACCACACAGAAAAAAAGCCTCAACACAGTTTCATTGCTGTAGCAGGTTGTCTGCACAATCTTTTATCTGGGGCGGGCTGAGCCAGTTCGTGACTTACTCAGTATAGGGGAAAGAGGGCAGGACAGACAGAGCAGGAAACTGGAAAGGTATCAAAACAGCTTGGGAGTGATGGAAGAAGCAATCGGTGCTGCAGTGGCAGGTGTGAAGGCTCTGGTGTGGATGGCTGAGCTCTGCTGCAGTGAGACTGGGAGATGGCTGGCACCAGGCAGGCTGCTGCACTTGGTAGCCTGCCCTTTTGAAGTGTAAAATGGTTTGTTTTCCAAAGTTAAAAAACAAAACAATTTCTCAGACTGGAAATAAAACGTTTATTGCGAACAGAGTGTTTGGGGAAGGTAGTGTTTGCTTTATTACAGGTCCAGTATAGCTGTGTAAAAGAGGGAGCCAGTTGCAGAGTAGGGTTAATTTTCTTGTAGCGCAAAGTACAGCAGTGTAGGTTGGGAGCAGCCTTAGGCAGTGCAGACTGGTTTGGAAATACCTGTGGCTGTGCAAAAAAGCAATCTTTAAATGAGCTGCAAAAGTCAAATGATTTACAAAGCAAATCTGTTAAAGCAACCCTTCTCCAGCTGCACTTCCCAGAGAAGGGACAGGGTCTAGAAAATGCTAAGCACATTTAGGTACCATTGCAAACTAAACAAGACCATGCCCGCACTGTATAGGTGAGAACAGTGTCTGACTGAAATCATTTACCAAAAAAAGTCAACAGATTTAAAACATGAGGCTCACAAATCCCATCCTCTCTAGTTCCGTACAAACTGACTTTCAAGAAGATAAAACTTCTTCGCAAGTCCCACCTGACGTAAGTGTTGATGAACTGCTTTTGATCATGACTTAACTGGAACCAAAATTAAAACCAATATAGAGATGAACCAAAAACCAATAAAAGGATGGTGATGCATATTTGGTCATTAGCAAGCTGAGAGCAATGACTTGTCAGTGAAGACTTGAGACTTTTAATTTTCTGTATGGGAAAGAATGCTGATACTTAGAACATATGTAATTATTTTAGCTCAATAACTACTACTTGTACAAGAGACTTCCAAGAGTAGTTCCTTTACAGTTGCTTATATTTACATATATATGCCAGAACACTAATGATATTCCATTATTCTCAACTCCCTGTGTAAATTAGTGCTGCCAACTCTGCTTGCCCAGAATATACAGCCATAATGTCATATACTCTACCCATAACTGAGAAACACTATTTACATTAAAGGACAACGAAAGGAATTTATTAGGACAGTAGATCAAGAATGCTTTTAACTGTTCTGTACTAAATGAAGGATCCCCTTTTAACAGGGACATTCCTCAGAGACCACATCTGTCTCCTGTAAGGACATGAGTAGAGGTGGAAGAGATGTTGGAAGTCTATATATCAAGAGATAATTTTAAAATATTCTCAGGAGGCATCGGTGGTTGTGTAACAGAAGGAGACTTCCTCAACACAAACACAAGCATAGAGAGGTATGTTTTTTTCCTTTTTCCGCTTACTATGCCATGGAGATTTTTATTATTATTATTTCAGTCATTTTGTACACAGGAATCCTCCTAGGGAAAAGCTTAAACTTCTTTCAACACAGTTCTGAAGACCAAAGAAATCCCACTTTTTAATCCCAATTCACCCATCAGCTCTCTAAAACAGCTCTTTGTGGTATTGTTCTCCCATTTTTTTATTGTTCTTTGAAGACGGATACACTGAGTGATTATGTGTGCGACTTCTGGGAAAGGATCAAGACTCCCATAAAAATCCTGACACAGGCAACCAAGGGAAACAAAATGCAGTAAATAGGAGTTGTGGTGCGAGGGGGACAGAGCAGAGCTAGTAGCACTCCTGCAGGCTTTATCCTAAACTATGTCCCTATGCAACTCTAATACAAAACACCTCTACATTTATAGATTTGTCACTGTATGGCTTGTACAGTTACCAGTATTTATTACAAAGCATATTGAGTGACAACTAATTTTACTGATACAAACCTGTATGTATGCTGTGGTGGGTTGACCTTGGCTGGACCGGTTGCCCACCAAGCCACTTTATCACTCTCCTCCTCAGCAGGATGGGAAGGGTAGAAAATAAGATGGAAAAAAATTATGGGTCAAGATAAATGCAGTTTAATAAAGCAAAAGCAAAGTTTGCACATGGAAGCAAAGAAAAACAAGAGATTCATTCTCAACTTCCCATCAGCAGGTGATGTCTGGCCACTTCCTGGGAAGCAGAGCTTTAGTTTGTGTAGCGGTTGCTCTGAAAGACAAACTGTAGTAACAAACATGTTTTCTCCCTTAGCTTTTATTGCTGAGCAGACATCATAGCGTATGGAATATCCCTTTGGTCAGTTGGGGTCGGCTGTCCTGGCTATGTCCCCTCCCAAGATCTTGTCCACCCCCAGCCTACTGGTGAGTGGGATATTGGAGAGACAGCCTTGATGCTGTGGAGCACTGCTCAGCAGAAGCCAAACGCTGGTGTCTTATCAACATCTTTCTAGATACCAATACAAAGCGCAGCACTATGAGGGCTGCTAGGGGGAAAATAAACTGTCTCAGCCTCCCGGTACATGCACCAAAAAGACATACAAACTTGAGAAGGCAGCGGCTGAAATAGCCAGTAGATTATTTGGAACAAGTAGGCAAAACTGTGTGTAAGAAAGTCAATAATTCTTCCTGTTACTAGCATCCATGGGCCCATGGGCATAGGAATTCAGCATCAGCTGCTCAGTGACATTATACTGGGTTAGGGAGTATAAGATTCCAACACTTGAGATGCCCTGTGCGAAGCACAATTGAACAGAGGTCTGGTAATGGAGTTTACTAACCTGAACATGAAAATTACTTCCTTTCATCTTGGAGAAGTGAGAGCTGTAAAATGTAATGGCAGCAACTTCAAGTAAACATTAACCATTTCAGTGATGATGATTATCACAAATACCAAGTTATTTGGCTAATTATGGTTAATGTGTGAACAGAATTACACCTCTTATCAGACCTCTAGAAATGCCTTTCTACCTTCATCTGGGATGTAAGTTACTAGGTTTTTAAGGTGTTTCACAGTGTCTCTGAGCTTTCTCCAAAATCTCAGAGGTTACCAATAGTGGTGTGACAGTCATGAGGACAAAGAGTCCCAGCAGCTCATAAAGGAGTTAACTTCCAAAACCCGTATTTGTCCAGGTCAGTGACTCTTAACTGTCTCTTGCAGAAAGACAGAGGCGTGGAGCCTCTGTTGCTCTATTAATAAAAACTGCTCAGTTTTTACTAACATTCAGTTGTGGTTTTCTTAAAATTAGTGTGTGGATTCCTGCAGGTCACCAACAAGAAGCCACTGATCTAAAGTCACTGCAGGGGACTGAATGGTTTTCATTATATCATAGATGTTGATACACCATTTGGTGACCCCTTTAGAAATACTTTGGTACCTGTGGTTAGTGAAGTGATTAAACTTTGTCCAAACGACAGATGTTTTTTTCTTTTAAAAATACTAGTTAAAACCTTTGCCCCCCCCCCCCCCCCCCCCCCTTGTCACTTTGTCAGTGACAAAGAGAAATCAGGATTGCAGAAGCCAAGGGAGGCTGAGAGGACTAAGTTGCAGGTTCTACATCACAAATACATCTTCCAGGATGAGTGAGAGAGAATGCAAAATGTTGAGTGTATGGCATGGAGCTATGTGATTTTGAACTTTTACAGCAGAATTGCTATTCATATTTAAAGCTATTCATATTTCATTGTTGGTTATATTTAAAAATAAAACAAATGTCCATCTAGAAGCTCCCAGTGCTCTAACTATAATTGAACTTGCACCTAAGTCTGCCCTGTGGTTTTGTATGTTTCTAAATAATCAGACATCTGCAGTGGGAGTATTTTAGCCAATACCAGGAGAGTGTACCAGCACCAAAGCAGGCTGGGTATAAGGTTGTATTTGATCTGTGAGCTGTCTCAACACAGGTTAAGGGGTGATTTGGGTCCACCAGGAGCTTCAGGATCTGGGAGCTTTCATGTCCTCATGAATGTGGAGACCTTCTTGATGGTACGGAAATGCTTGGAAAAAGACCATACAACATCTTATAGGCAGAAGGAGTACTTTACTTGTTACTACACTGATTTTTGAAGGAAGACTATAAACGCAGGAAAAATACAAGGCAAATTTTAAGTTAGCATTACTTCAATTCACTGAGTATTCTTAGCATAAAGTTTGAATAGTAAATTACAGTCCATTTTCTGAGGTAGAGTAGAAGCAGTGACCATTCCAAAGTGCTTCCTTTGGAATGCAGGTGGACCCCAAGCAACAGATGCCATGCTCCTCAACTGAAGTAAGGACTAAGCAGCCATTTGCTGCGGCTGATGGTGGTGTTAGAATCGTAAAGGTGCAGCAGGTTATTTATTGTTATCACCCTACGAATTTGCAGTATTTGTAAGCTTTATGAAACTGCTTTCTGTGAGGTATCTGTGCTCCCCATCCAGCCGCTTGCCTTGGGCCCTGTTGGCCTGCAGTTGCTCCGGGCGGGGGTGGCTGGGTATCACAGTATCACAGTATGCTAGAGATTGGAAGGGACCTCAAAAGATCATCTAGTCCAATCCCCCTGCCGGAGCAGGAACACCTAGATAATGTTACACAGGAATGTGTCCAGGCGGGTTTTGAATGTTTCCAGGGAAGGAGACTCCACAACCTCCCTGGGCAGCCTGTTCCAGTGTTCCGTCACCCTCACTGAGAAGTTTCTTCTCAAGTTTAAGTGGAACCTCTTGCGTTCCAGTTTGTACCCATCACCCCTTGTCCTATCATTGTTTGCCACTGAGTAGAGCCTGGCTCCATCCTCGTGACACTCTCCCTTTATATATTTATATACACTAATAAGGTCACCCCTCAGTCTCCTCTTCTCTAAACTGTAGAGACCCAGCTCCCTCAGCCTTTCCTCATAAGGGAGATGCTCCACTCCCTTAATCATCTTAGCTGCCCTGCGCTCGACTCTCTCCAGCAGGTCCCTGTCCTTCTTGAACTGAGGGGCCCAGAACTGGACACAATACTCCAGATGGGGTCTCACCAGGGCAGAGTAGAGGGGAAGGAGGACCTCTCTCAACCTACTAACCACCCCCCTTCTAATACACCCCAGGATGCCATTGGCCTTCTTGGCCACAAGGGCACAGTGTTGGCTCATGGTCATCCTGTCGTCCACTAGGACCCCCAGGTCCCTCTCCCCTACACTGCTCTCTAACAGGTCGTTTCCCAACCTATACTGGAACCTGGGGTTGTTCCTGCCCAGGTGCAGGACTCTACACTTTCCCTTGTTATATTTCATCAAGTTACTCCCTGCCCAACTCTCCAGCCTGTCCAGGTCTCGCTGGATGGCAGCGCAGCCTTCTGGCGTGTCAGCCACTCCTCCCAGTTTAGCGTCATCAGCAAACTTGCTGATAGTACACTCAATTCCCTCATCTAAATCACGGATGAATATATTAAATAATACCGGTCCCAGTACTGACCCTTGAGGCACTCCACTAGTTACAGGCCTCCAACTAGACTCCGCCCCATAGACTACAACTCTCTGGCTTCTCTCCTTCAGCCAGTTCACAGTCCACCTCACTACCTGATCATCCAGTCCACACTTCCTCATTTTAGCCGTGAGGATGCTGTGGGAGACTGTGTCAAATGCTTTGCTGAGGTCAAGGTAGACCACATCCACCGCTCTGCCATCATCCATCCACCGTCTTATTTCTTCATAAAAGGCTAAGAGATTGGCCAAGCATGATTTCCCCCTGGTGAAGCCATGTTGACTGCCCCTCATAACCTTCTTATCCTTGATATGCCTTAAGATGGCACCGAGGATAAGGTGTTCCATTACTTTCCCAGGGATGGAGGTGAGAGGCCGGTTTCACGTTAAGAGGTTTTCATGTGGCAGGTAATGCCATTTAGGGGATTGGGGTGGGACCTACTGAGTCGCCGGGCAGCACTACCTCAGCCTAATTCGGGCGGGGGCCGCGCTGTGGGGCTGCCATTGCGGCGGCAGGCCCGGCAGCCCACCGGCGTCTCCACGGCAACCCGTAAAGCCGCCTAGCGCGTCCCCTCCCTCCGTCGCAAGTCTCGTTCTCGCGAGACTTAGCCCGGCCCGGCGCGGCGAGGCCGAGGCGTTGCGGGCCCTTTTCAAACCCAGTGGTAGCGGGGTTTTGGCCCGGTTAGGAAATGGCGGAGAACGACAAGGTGGAGGCTGCGCCCGCTGCGCCGCAGCGCGGAGCCGAGGAGGCCGCTAGCGCCGTCCGTCCGCTGCAGCAGCAGCCACCGCAGCAGCAGCAGCAACAGCCGCCACCGCAACAACAGCCGCCGCGGGATGAGGAGGCGGCGGCAGCCGCAGCAGCAGCAGCCACAGCGGCAGTTACCGAGAGCGGCGGAGGCAGCGCTAATGGCGTCAAAATGTGTGTGCTGGGCCGGGCCGGGCGGCGCGCGTAGCGCGGCCGGGGAAGCGCGAGGGTGCAGCGGGCCCGCCTAGGCCGCGGCGGGGGCTGGGCGGCCGGTCCCCTCCTCCCCATTCCCCTGTGGGCTCCTCCTCCGCCGGAGATGGCGGTGCGCCTTGCTGCGCGGCCCGAGCGTGGAGCGCCGGTCCGCGGCGGGCGGTTGAGGCGGTGGGGTGGCGGGGCAGGCGCCTCCCGGCCCGGTGAGCTGGGCTCGAGGGAGGTGAAGTTTCGCCTCGGGCAGGGGCTAAGCGCCAGCCGCTGCGCTGTGGTGAGCCCTTGGGCTACTGTAGTGCGCTCTGGTCAGGACGGTTCTCACGGGATGCGTTCCTAGAAGTGCTCTGCCTGGTTTCTGGTTTTGTTTACGTTTCCACTTCCTACCGTAGCGGTGCGTTTTGTAAAGCCTTCGAACTAGTCATTCGTTTATGTGAGAACAGTAAGACAGGCCTATAGCGGTTTACTTTTCAAAAACAAGCAAACAAAAAGCCCCGCATATATGCACAAACTTTTCTTGTCCATTGTAATGTCATATATGGAATATGCAAACTGCCTTACATAGCAGGTCTAAAAGGACTTTTACTGGAGTGTAGGTGAGCTGGAAGTACCAGCTGTCTAGAGCAGTGCTGTGAATAGCTTTATATATTTGTTTGTTCTTGATGTCTGGCCTTGAGGGTTCTCACTCTTCATGTGAACCAGCTTTTGGCCTTATGTCATTGTAATTTCAGTCTCTTCCAATCTCATTCAGATCTTGGAGGGAAGACTAGATACCTCCAGAGGTCCCTTCCAACCCAAATAATTCTGTAATGCATGTATGGTAGACTTGCTGTTGCAGTGCATCGAAGCTGTTGAGAGCTGTGAAGTTTTGACATGTTCTAAGCAGGCCAGTCTGATACTGTTGGCTTTGAAAAATGCACATGGGATCAAGTTCAACATAAAGCTAGAGGAATAAAGGCATGCTTCATGCCTTTACTTGTCTCCCTGTGAAATGCAAATAGTTTACAAGTTATAAATTTTACATTACCATAAAACTGCGGTTATTATTTTTTTTTTTTTTTTTCCCTAAGCCAGGCCCTCAGCTTCCACACTACACAAATTACAG